TGCATAATTGCTCTCAATTCAGCCTAAGAGAAACCCTAAACATCCCTTCCTCAGCTCCTGAAATTGCATAATCTCAATGTGCAACAGTGATTGACATCAACAGGGATGCCTGTAGGACCAAGTTGCTCCCAGGGAGAGGATTTCAGATACTGCCCTGGGGTTAAAGGTGAGAGGTGCGACTGAGGTGACCGGTGTGATTTAAGCTATTTTTGTTGTTGTTGTTTTTAAGTTTTTGTACTTGGTAAAGAAGAAAAAGTAGGTGAAAGTTATAGTTTAGGTTGTTGTGTGGACTGTTTGTGAGGAGGACTAGTTTCCTTTGCTAATTTTCATATTTATGTATTATTTAAATACCATATGCAATATGTTAAGACATTGATATCTTAGAATAATTTTAAAATGAACATTGAAAGAGCTTTTAAAATCTAAATATATTTATTATCTCCACTACATTTCCAAATGATAAATGGTCCTTTCTCCTGTCTGTTGTTGCTTGTTTGCTTATTCTCTTTGCCTGTTCTTGCTTTGTTGCTTCTCCCCCGGGACGTGCTGAGTTTCACAGAATTGGGAATCTCCTCACCTGCCTTCCTAGTCCCGGGAGCAGTTCCATGGCCTCGAGTAACGATGAGCTGAAGGCAGGTTCAGGACTGCAGGGTGAGGCCAGTGACTGGGGACAGTCCTCCCCATGGCCCCACACTTCCTGGGAGAAGCGGCGTGTTCCCTGCTCCGGTTACCTTGGATGAGAATTCAGGCACCCAGGTAGGAGCCAGCAGCCCCTCGCAGGGCACTCTACGTGAAGGGTTGTCCTTGCTCCAAACAGCTGGGCTTGGGGCAGCTCCCAGTAAGCGGCTCCATGGCTACGTTTCGAGTGGAAGAGCATTTCCACACACCCCTGTAGCTGAAGCTGCCCTGCATGTATCTATTTTCACTGTGCACAGCATCCCTCGTAGCATGTTTTTCAAGATAAAATCTCAGACAGTACAACATCTCGGAACAGTCAAACAATAATTTATGAAACAAAAGATTTCTACAACCTCCTCTTCTGCGTTTCAAACACACCAGCCCCTTCTGACACATTTCCTCCTCCTGGATGGAGCATTTGACTTTCTGTCTCCCAGTCTGTATACCCGATTTTGTTGTCCTCGCCTCCCATTGTGTCCCTTGCTTTCTCCATTCCTCAGGACCCTTCTCTTGCATGCTCATCTTCATTTCCTTTGCTTTCACTCTGCTCTGCTTAAGTTTCCTGTGTTTGGCTCTCCTTGCTGACTGTGCTTTGCAGCATGCAGCCTGTGTTGGTGTTTATAACCTACACACATATAGGGCTCACTCATTTGTGAGTCCCTCTGATAGAGTTTTCTTCCATTTTCCTTTTTTCTTTTTCTTTTTCTTTTTTTTTTTTTAATATTTTTTCCCTTCCTACAAAGGTGCTTCAAATTTTTTTTAGCAAGTTACTACTATTCTGTATTTCAGCATTTTTCAAACATCCATTTTTTGCAATACTTCTGCCCAAAACAATGTATTTTAAGCCAAACACATGCAGGGCAAGAGGTGCACTATTGAAAATGCCTGATTTAGTGGTGGTTTTTATTCTTCCTCTCAGCTGGTATTGTATTTTCATCTGTTTGTTATTTCCTCTATATAATTTCCAGATAAAAGACAAAAGACAAGCTAAAAGGTTTTTGGAAAATGGTTAGAATATTTGTTCATTTTACAGAATTAAAAATAAATAAATAGAGGCAGACAGCCACTTTCTAAATATATGTGGAGGAGGAGTAACAGGACCCTAAGGCATTTCACAAAATTAACACATGACTGATGTGGCTGCAAAGAATCAGCTCCCATTCAGATGGGCCCTTAGTTATATGACAGTACCCAATTACGTACAAGAGGGGTACATCCACATTGAATAGTTAGAAAAAGCATGGATGAGTGAAATTATTCAGCAATTGTACCAAAATGGGGTGATTAACTCTTTTATGTCATGCAGGGTGCTGCAGGATTTTTAATAACCATATCAAATCAGGATCTTGCTTTTTCAGCTCATCAAAAGATAAGCGAGCGGCAGTCAATGATGTTTCTGCTACGTTTCTGATTCCCAGGGCAGACGGAGCCCTGGACCGTGAGGGGCCACAGTCAGGCAACTCAGACTCAGCGGAATTCAGGTTTTGCATTAGTTTAGACTAATGTAAGTGACAAGTGACACTAGATCAATAGAGTGAAATAGGTTTGGACTGACTTTTCCAGAGGAACAGCTGGTGCACTGTTCTGGTTACTACATTTAAAAGATCTCCCTGCCCACATGTTGCTCTTTGCTTTCATTTTAAAACAGGCTAATCAGCTCAGTCAGTCAAGCATTTTCAAGATTATTTTTACTGGGAATGCAAATGCCTCCAGCTGCATACAAAAATTATAGTTCAGCTTTCCAATGATATCAGTTCAATATAATGGATGTTCATGTATTTACAATGTGTGTATAAAATACATATTTTTACAAGTAGCCTAGACAGCTTTCTTTATTGTCCATTGCATTCCTTATACTGAATAATAAAAAAAGCTGTCCTTACTAGATTTTCCTCATAAATTACCCTGGATGACCCACCTATTTGAGCGTTTCTACTCCTGTTCGGAGGCCAAAGGAAAACCATCCAGTTGGATCAGCAGCTGAATCAGCCCTTTTCTTGTCAGTAAGTTTGTCACATGGGTGTTTTCTCCTGCCCTCGGTCACTTTGATTTTTTGACTCTCGTCTTGGTTCATGAATCCAGCTTTGTTGGTATGAACCACAGGAACAGGCAGGTGAAATGCCTTTCAGATGTGATGTGGCAAATGGACATGAAGTCAGTAGAAATCTCACTGTAATACCCCGCTCTTCCCAATAGGAGGAAATAGAAATTCTCTTGTACAAGATGGTACTGCCACCGAAGTACTACGCTCCATTGTCAAGTCACCCTATGGCCATTTTTTGAATTTCAGTTTAGTCTCACTGTAATAATATAACCCCCCCCCAACTATTTTACTTGAAACTCTGCTTATCAGGACCAACCTGTGCAACAGTTAATATATTACCACAGCTAATTTTCTTTGGAAGTGAGTTAGCTGGTTATATTGAGAGCAACTGTGTGACTACAGTTTTCTTATAAAGTGCTGTACATAAAAAAGAATGATCCTCGTTTCCATGTTTTGATTTCCATTCTCTGTAATGGGAGAACTTAAGAGTACATCCTACCTACCTTCGTTTCTGACTATGCAGTTTCTAAGGTCGCTTTCCGGAGGAAAGGAGCACAGAACAGGAGAACGGGTTACCAAAAAGGGGAGTGTTGAATATTTCATAGGCTTGTTCTTAGCTGGGTGGAGGTTTGTTGAGAAAGTTTTTGTTTCCTCACCAAACTGGGAGGGAGGGATCCACTGGTGGAGTATTTCTGTTCCTTAAGAGGAATAGGAAAAACTGTTTCCTTGGGGTGGTTTAGTATGGAGGAGTCCCTTCCGTCCCTGGCTCTGCAAGTGCTGCAAGCTGAGTTGCCAGCCTCTCTACTCCATGGTGTGGAAGTACAATTCCTTCGTTAACAATGGAGCCCAGCCCTGTGCCCATTGCGTAGCATTTCTCACCTTCCACATCTGAAATAGTCTTTGTGGATAATGACAGCACAAATAACAAATTGAAGTTTGTTTAGGTAGGCTTTCAGTTCTTAAAATATGTATTACCACATTTTACATCCTTATCTGTTTGTAAATAAGATGACAGGCACACTTTAGGAATGAAAAGTCCATCTTAAAGATCTGTTCTGTTTAGGAAATCATATTTATTCACAAGCCTAAACTATTTACTCAAGAATAATCTGAATACTTTAAGTTGCACTTACTGTGTAAAAACAATACAGAAATTCTGTATTTTATAAAAGCTCTGATGGCTTCCAGCAATTAAGTATCTATAAAACAATACCCGACGCTTATGAGTGCCATTTAAAATAAAAAGGTCCTTGTACTTACTGTTGCTATGAGCCAAGGCTGGGTTTTCCCAGCTACTCGTTTGCGATTCCGAGCGCCTGCAAAGCGTCTGGCTTGGCCATCTAAGGGAGGAAGGGCTGGCTGCCTTGCCCTGGCTTAGCAGGATAACACGTTCACATCTTTTTTTCCCCCTTTGCACTTATCCCCTCTGCACTGGCAACCCCGCTCGGGAGCACACACACACCCGCCAATGGCTGAAGTGAGAAGGGACTGCTGGCTTAGTCAGCTCTTGGCAGCTCACGCAAAAGCAAATATTATGTTCAGGTCAATTTACCTGGGCAGATGCTTTACAGAATGTCAGTTCTGTCCACAAAGTGTAAGTTAGCAATATTATGTATGTGAAAAGTAAAAATAAAAGAGGAAGGAACACTATTTACAGTCTTGCTCCACTTCTTTTTCTATTTCTGTCCCTTAAGCTCAGAATCTGATTAGTATATTTAATTCCGTGCAGCATCGTGACTGGCCCACCTTTAATCAGCCTTCTGACATCCACTCTTTCTTCCTTCACATGTTGTACAGTGTAAGTCACATGTTATCAATTTAGTAATATTCCTACGCAAAAGACAACATAAAAGGTTCATGCTGCACTATCCACATTGGATTGGTTTTATTTTTCATATATTTACACATATGCAATGAGAAAAACAGGATACAAGAGATGGGAAATATTTCAGGACCTAGGAAAATTTTGCATGAAGAATCTCATGCCAGTATTTTAAGATGAGCTGGCTGCTTGGTCAGCAATATGAATGTTTCTGCATGTTCACAATGTAGTTTTGTTCACTTTGTTACATTATATTTTTTATTATCTGTAACTTTCTAGCTTATCATTTAAAAATTGATAAAATGCATCAAATTAACTCATTATATTCTGATTAAAGTTAGTGACTTTTTCAAAAATATTTTCCCTGTACATCTATATAGGGTAACAGAACTCCCTGTGCTCTGCTACTATGGTAGAAACAAGGGCAAAGATAATGAGACAATGTCCTTACATCGCACGAACAAAACCCTACTATTTTTAGTGGTTCAGGTGATGTTTTCAACATAGTGCATTAGCTTAATGGGAGCAGTCTTTTGGCTGAGGCAGCTCCAATCTTACGGAGCTCTTTGTCCTGACCATATTCCAGTGTGATTCATTATACGCTTTTGCTTTAATTCCCTTGCTAAATTTCATTTGGCACTTTTCTAAATTGCTCTAGCTGCTAAACATCGACAGCATTTGGCTCTTCATGGTGGATGCTTCACGTGTAATCAACAAATAATAACTAACAAGCAGAAAATTTCTATGCTGTAGAATGGATATTTTCAAGCTAAAATGCTTTCCTACAGGGTCAATTAAGATAATAAAAGGCCAAGAAAAGTTTCACTTTAGGAGATTAGAATGATCAAATCAGTTCTTAAAGAAGATGTGTTTTGTCATCTTTTCCTGAATGGTTCATCTTTTGAGAAGGAAGGAAAGAAAGGATGGGGCACTTGATTTAGCAATTCTAAATGTAAGGATGTTAAAATTCATTATGAATAGTACTGGAAGTCATAAGAGTTGAAAATTAGTGAAATATTACTTTCAAATTCAAAACTTGTTAAAAAATTGATTTCTTTCTAGCATATCCTTTGGCTCTTGCTCCATGAAAGCTATCCTTTACAGCTTTCATGCTGTAAAATGGTATTTGCAATGAAAATCTTTTTTTTTTTTTTAGCATTGTATCTAGATATATACTCTATTTGTAGAGATTAAAAATGATTTTTAAAATTCTGAATCTTTTCAGTCTCTGGTTGTGGACACTCCAGAGTTTCACAGTTACAAGCCTATCTCTATAGCAACTCACCATAATTTTCTACATAAAAACCTTAGCAACTTGCACATATATTTTGAGTTACCTCTGGGTCATAAATGATCTGGGTCATAAATGATTTGTCTTGACGTTGTCCGTATTTGCTCTTTGCTTTATTCTCCCTCTTCCACCTGCTCGTCATTCCCTCCTTGTTCACTCTCTCTCTCAGTGCTTGCTCATCACTGTAGTCCTAGCTGAAGCTTCCTCCTGTTGCTTAGTTTGCACTCGCCAGCCTGGGCGCTGCTTTTGTCTACTTGTAGGAACCACCTGCAGTTAGGCTCCCTTTTCCCCATCCCTTTTCCTTTTTCTCCTTTTCCTGGTCAGTTCAATTCCACTGACAGCCTCTGGTCTTGCTTGTTACCTGTGCTCTCTGAAAGCTTTTCCTATTTCCTCTTCTGCTTAGGAGAAGAGTTTTTTCAAGGGAAGCAGTGTTCCGTTCCCTTTTCTTTTCCAGAGATGTTTACATATTCCCCCATCTTCTTAATTTGTATGTGCAGCAGAAACAAGGGAAAGGAAGAAACAACCTGATGATCTGTCAGTTGTACCCCCTGGATTCAAGTTTGATAGCACTGCCTTATAAACAGGATGCTGCAGTAGGAGGAACACTGGAAAACCAAACCAACAACAACAACTATTTGGGTTTGTGCAAATGTCTGTTATGATTCCAGATTTTGCAGAATTTTGGAAAAAAAAGAAACCTTATATCTTTCACTGATAAAAAAAGATTCAAGGCACTCTAAATAAAAAAATATAACATACGGTAAGTTAGTATTTATGACTATGATTGCATTTCCTCCTAGTCATTTGCATTTCTTCTTATACCACTGCAAAGACTGCACAATCACAGACTACTGAATCTTACCATGACAGTAATAATAATACTACACCTCTGTAACCACCTGTTTTTAAGAATATGGTTTCCATTCTTTTCAGTCACACAATAAATTAAGGCACAAATTTGAAATATAACATTAAATACACATAAGTAAATGTTCTTAATGCTCTTAATCACACTCAATCTCACAGTTGTGATTGATATATTTCTTTTAACTGTAATTTCTTAATATTTTAATTTTTTAAAAAAGCTTTGTACATATTTTATTATTTCATATGCTGTTTAAATGATCTACATTCCTCTTCATTTTTCTACAGTTCTGTTTCTAATGATTCTTCAGAGAATGAAGTAACTCACTGCCTACGGTAAGTACACTATCATTTTATATAAATAGTTGTTATCTAGGCTTTTCAGAATGGTTCTCCAATGCCTATATTTATAAGCTAAGTAATGTGTTAATATCATTATTAATAATTTAAGATAATTCGGGACAACTTATAATTGGGTAAATGGAGGCCAAGTCAGATTGGTGGAGTAAATCCTATCCTTACAAAGTTATCCACGCGAAAGAGAACCAGTAGTACCTGTACAGCATTTATCTTGACTATTTCTTTAAAAATAGCCTTTGCTTTCAAGATGAAATGCTGTTGGTGTTTCCTGTGCCAGGCAGAATTTAAAGATATAATGACAAACAAACAAACTGCTCCTTGGCAGGGAGGCTGAGATGCTAGGTCCAAATCTAACAGTAAGTTCAGAAATTCTGAGTGATTTGCTGGAAATAAAGAGTATGATAGTGGAAGGCACAATAATGTGACTCTAAAATAAAAAGCAGCCTGGGCACAATAGGGCAGCCATGTTGCCTGTTTGTTGCTTGCTTGCTTGGAATAATAACTGGCTTATCATCCAGTTTTAATGTAGGTTGTTTTTTTTCCTCTGAACTTGCATTGTTGAACTTGGGAGCCAAAAGGCAGGCCCAAAAGTAGATAATGATTGTTCTAATTTACTTCTGCCATTACCATTCAGTAGAAGAAACAAATTAACGTAAAGCAGTCAGTTATCTGAATTTAAAGATTAGCGTTCATTCCAATCCAGTGTTTTATCAGCTGGTGTGCAATGGCTCGACTTGGCGGCACGAAGAACAAACGCCGGTTTCCTTTAATGATAACATCCACGACCTGCAATAAACACAGATTTGCTTCATTAGAAGTCAGTATGACAATCATACAGTATCTAAGATTTTTACGAACCCAAGAATTATCATACTATGATAACCAATCTACTGTTACTATTACTATGACAAAGCTACTGTCATGTTCTTGGAGAGATGCAAAAAGAACATGTAGAAAGGATGCTATTAATTCAGGTATCGTTGAGTTTTCACGTGCCTCAAAACATACTTTTTCTAATAAACTTTTGATACAGACTGCCTGTACAATACCTGAGGCTTCTGTAAAGCTGTTATTATTGTACAGACCACGAGAGGGTGCTCTACTCTGCTTTTTAGATCCTGTATTTTTTCACATGCAACTTTTTGGCCTGGGAGGAATCCTGTTTTGTCGGTTTTCTGAAGCAGGAGCAAGCAACATGGGAGTAAGCTTTTAGTTAAGTGTATTTTTGAAGCACTTTGATTCTCATCTCTCTATCAGTCTGCTGCTGACTCACTGTATTCAGAACTGATACTCATCTGAGATAGGGAGGTGTTCTCGGGAACGCACTGAAATTGTAGCCAGCTAATTTTCCCCTCAAGCTGCCTTACTGAGTCACAGCACTCGTCACTGCTAGGCAGGAATACAGTGGTGTTAAGAAGTTCAGCTCCTCAGTGGCATGTGATGACAACCTATGCAGTTTATGGTGGCAAGCAACCTTTCCGTTCTCCTCTTGTAATCTTGCATTTCTCTCTTCCCTCTCTATGCTAGTCTTTTCTCCCCCTCCCTCTTTTAACTATATCTTAAATTTTCCAAAAAGTTTTAAATACCATCCTAACACAGCAAACTGCACGTAATTACTGGAGCATTAGACTCCTACAGCATGGAGAAAAAAAAAAAATGATGGAAGGAACAGATTGCCAGAGTTTTAACCTGAATCTCCTCTGTCCCACCCCAGCGAATGTGCTAACATGCTTGCTTGGAGAATCTCAGTGCCATTACGTACTTCTTTCACCTTAACGCAAAGAAAGCACAAGCCTCTGAAGGAAAGGGGGCTAAAATGGCTGTATCTTACAGACCTCTTGAAAGGAAACAGTGAACAGCTACCTATGACAAAAATGCCATGAAAGGGGCTTGAAACAGACCCCAGAGTTACGAGGCTCCCTTATGAATATCTACCTCTGCCTGCAATTTGCAATATCATGCAATGACAGTACGGAGGAGACATGCTGGTTCAGCTTGCTGAAAAAAAGTGAATGCTCTACTGTGTGCCAGAACCGATACAGTCACAGACCAATCAATACAACAAGGAAATTAAATTGAACTTTACCTGTTCCCTAGTGAACCAGCGGGCATCCTCTATTTCATTCTTGTCAACCTTAATTTCTGTAGACACCGCGACAGCTAAGCAACCGATCATGAGCGAGGAGGGCATGGGCCAGGGCTGACAAGAGACGTACTGGACGTGGCCCACTTGCACTCCAGCCTCCTCTTCCACTTCTCTTCGAACAGCGTCTTCTATTGTTTCACCTAGTCAAAGGGCAAAGGACAAGAGGCTGGTGAAAATACCCCAAGCAAGAATTAGATCCTGTATGTTGGGCTGCCTCAAAGGATTTCAAACTGTCCTGAACTGTTCAAACTGGTCTCAGGAACTGCCCTGAGATCTAGCTCGTAGATCAGGGTGCAGCCCTTAAGCATGGGCTACAGAAGACTGCTAAGCCAAGATAGTCTCCAAAGTGCCATTTTTTAAAGAGGAACTTTGAAATTAAAGTACCAGAACTTCTCCACCATCATGTTAATCTCCTGCATCAATAGTTTACTGTACGTGTAAGCTATCATTACTCCACCAAAAACAATAAAAATTAGCTAGGGGATGCAGTGTTCTTTAAATGAATTTCAGAATGCCCATGATCATGGTCCTAGGCTTGCTTGCCTAAGTGTGCTCTCTGTTCTAACCACTGATTAATGCAGGGTTCATCAGAGTAAACAATCCATACGTCAGTACGGTGCTTTACTTGGCTGTATTTTGAAAATTCTTGTAAGTAGTTTAAATGGTATTTGCAAGAAGCAAAAGCTTTCATACTGGTTACAACATAGTGATGGTTGCATGTATTTCATTTTGTCTAATGAAAGAACTAGCCACTATTATAGCAAACTCTTTTCATGCACTCACAAAACTAACTTCTGCATCCATATCAATACTTGCAGATATTTCCTTAGGGTTTTTTTTTTTTTTTTGGTTGTTAAACCAAACAGTAATTTCTCTAACAAAAGAGCTCCTAAGAGTTTGCTCAACTTAGCTGAAACTCAACTCAGCTGATCCAAAGATAATCTGCTCTGAATCAGCTTTTTCATGCAGGCACCATAAATCACTGTACACAATTACAGAATATGTCTTATACTCTAGGTTGTAAGAAGGATTTAAAAATAAAAGAATGTTTTACAAAGCATTCTGCACCTACTAGTGATTTTAACTTATTGCAATTATTATTGCTGAGCACAGTTCGGAAAAGGTCTCTTTATTTCTTGCTGAAATGGTTATATTTCTGCTGCTCTTCCATATAATCAGTCAGGCCTTAAACACTTCAGCACATGCTTAGTATTAATCATTTAGTTTAACTTTTATTTTTCTCTATACTAGAAGCCCTTACTGAATATTGTTAGAGAAGGGTTCTTACATATGTTTTTATATTGTCTTTTTAAAATTTAATTAGATGATTTGAGAGTGTATAAGAAAATTATCTTATAAATATTCAAATTGTTTTTTTAAATAAAGGGCTTCAGGGTTTAGGAGAGGTAAGCCATAAATCACCTAGAACAAACTTCTAAATTGTTTTCAGTGTACAATACTTGCTTGCCAGTCCTTTGATAAAGCAAAATGAAATTACTCACCCGGTTCTACAAATCCAGCAAGACAGGTAAACATTCCAGGCGGGAATCTTTTCTGCCTACCTAAAAGGCAGTGGTTCCCATCTGGATGGATGACTAGCATTATCACAACAGGATCTGTAAAGCACAGGAAAGAAATACTCTCAACTTTTTGCAGGCTAAAAAACAGCAATAAACTTCAGCCCATTCAGTATTGAATGGTAAAGATACAAATAAGATACCGCCGAGTACCTGAAACTCGTGTAGGTTCCCCAATGCAAGCTGGTATTTTATTATTGTTTGTTTTGTTTTCCTGCAGGATACCTGCTCATTTATTTTCGCTACATATGTGCTTTCTAAAAGCACTTCCCTAGACAAGGCTTGAAATTCAGGGCATAAGTCACCTGCAGCTGAAGCATTCAACTGACGAGAGCACCAACACCACCAACCTAGCTCTGCATCCAACAGCCAGCAACAATTGCAGCAGCCAGGACAATTTCCTGTGACCTCTTGCTCACACGTGCAGCCCTAGGAAGTACTTGTGATTGAAATGCACATAGAAAAACTAGATATTCTTTCTAAAATGTAAACACTGGCCAAACTTTACACTTCTTTTTTCTTTTTTTCCGACTCTTCCCGTTCAATTTCTCATTTGATGTTGCATTTTGAATTTCTGGTTGTTTTGTATTTCCTTTTCTTATTCCCTAAGATACTCTCTTTTTGGTATTGTGGTTTTGCTACGTTTCTCTGCATATTGCCCACCTACTCTCTTCTTCCCTTTTTATTTTCATCAGACTATTAAATATTCCAGTGTTCTGTGGTTTTTTTCAACTTCTGCCTTCATGTATTTTTTTCTATTGCTGTTCTGTCTTCTTTTTTTTTTTTTGCCCTGAAGGTCCATGTTTTCTCTAAGAAGGTTTGAATCAGCAATCAATATAAACAATATTTTCAAATACTGGTGCTGTATTCCAAGGTTTTTGCCACTTGGCAGAGCAAACAATTTCAGGTGTTGCTGTCCGTATACTTTTTTTTTTTTCTAGGAAAGTATTAGTAACAGTTGTTGGTTGAGTAGTCTTTCCCTAGAGAAATCCATACCTTTTCTGATTTTGTTATGCTAAAGACTGTAAAGAAATAGCTTCACGATAGGCTATGAGAGAGAAGAAAACATCAAAAGTTTTTCACTGGTACAGGGGTGCAGTCACAGGACACGAGCCAAAGCAAAGTCCAGGAATAAGCACGTACAACATCCAGAATTACCACTGCAGAAGAAAACCAGAGACCCTTGTAGGGGAAGGCAAGGTGAGCAGGTGGTCACCAGCTGATGCAGGCAGAGCATCCTTCCTTTTTCCTCCTTTCCTTCCTTGCTTCCTGTGATGGATATGCTCCTTTCCCAACTCAACCTGACCTTCCACATGTAGCCCTATTCAGTTGCTAACCACCAGCGACTTCTCTAATCCTGGTAGGCGCCTTCCTGATCTCTTCTCCCACTCAGACATCAACATAACAGTCCTGAAGGCTGCATCCTGCTGGGGAGAAAAAGCTAATACACTAGCAAAGGTCCTTTGACATGAAAGAACGACTCTAAGTCAATCATCTTAAATAAATATATATAAATACACGGACACCCCACGGCAGCGGGCTGCACACCAGGATCTGCCTTTGAGAAGGGACGCCTCTCAAGGTTACTCCTCAAGGTTGAGAGATGCCTTTCCATGACAAATTTTTGGTAAGCGAACATAGTGCACTTTCTTTAAACTTTGTACTGTGCACAGAAACCCTTAGTCATAAACCGTTGACCAGGTCTGGGGCTAGAATAGGATCCAGCCGTATCCAGACTCCTCTCAGAAGAAGCCTGGAAAGCAAGGAGGTCCAGTCTGAACCTCGTGACTCAATGGGAGGGTGTCCAAGATAACTGTGTATTATCTTAAACCTCCATGCAGTAAATAATAAGCGACCTTGCCATAGAATCTAGTGGAATCATTGTTCATATCAATAAACCCTATTATTATTTCTTTCATACGAGTGAAGTGCATTTTGTCACTCGCTCTCCTCCCTGCCAACCCCCAACTTGTTCCGTGACAGTTCCCCACCTATAGCGCTGCGACAGACACTCTGGGAAGAGGCAAGTACCTAAGAGCCAGGACAGAAGCAAGCAGCTGCAGGAGCTAGAAAGAAGTGGCGCTCAAGTCTATAACGGAAAGGAAGTGGTTACAAATAGGACCCTTTTCCCCAAGTTTATGCTGCAGCATCCTCACCGACTCTGGGGTACGAGGTGTTGTGCACGCCGCGGAGACTGGAACAATCTTCTTTGAGGCAGGTTTTCTTGTAGCCCCCGTCCTCAATCTTGGTTGCGCTGCCGCACGTTGGGCAGAACTGGTAGCGGCTGTGCCAAGCCAGAATGGATCGGGCCTGCGCGACGACTCCTTTGAAAGGACATACGGAAAGTCAAAGACCAACTCATTTCAGCTTCTACTACTGCGAAATAAAGCACATATTAAAATTTAATACAAAAAATAAAGCAAGGCCGCACCTTAAATTGTCATCTGCTTTAAGAGAAGTTGAGCAAAATGCTTTATTTGGATTTTTTAAATTTTGGTGGGGTGACAGGAGAGTACATGCAAATGCAATACAGTACTACATGAGCACAGACCAAGTCATGCTCACAAAAAAAAACCTCATGGGATTTCCAGGCCCGTATGCCTTGTCTCTCATTGCTGTTATTTTGTTTGAGGAAAGCATCCAAATTAGATATCATATTCTTGATGTGGCTAGAATGACTAATTCAGAGCTGCTACATAGGTCTTGACGTAGTGATGCCTTGTCCCACTGAAACTAGAGATGGAAGTTACTCACCTGCGGTTTGGCCTTCCCTAAGAGAAACGTTGCAACAGCAGTTGCTGCAAGGTGCCCAGGCTGGAATTCTTGCACTTTTGCAATCCTCCTTTTGCAGCATTAATTTTCAATATATAAATCTAATACTGTACTAGCATACGGTGGGAAAAACCAAAACCTCCTTTCTACTTAAAGCTGCTATAAAATCTTAAAACAGAAATCAGTACACAACATCTGTATTCTTATTTCTCATATCGAAGGTCGGTAATCAGAGTTTTTTAAAAATGTTTTAAAAAACATGTGTATGCACTAATATTAAAATAGCATAATTTGTAAATTTCTGATGATGAATGTGTTTCATAATCCATTACTTGTGATTGCAGATGTACTTTGCAACTGCATGTTTTACACACAAAATTTGGAACAGCATCACTGGCAAACAGCAGCAATTAAAATTTTTCTAATGCCACGGAAAACGCATAGCTCCCCTACAGTAGTTGCTTGTCTCTGCACTACCCACCAGCCAATCTCCCAGCATAGCTTTCCGCTGAGATATGTGATTACAGCTGCCTTTTATGCACCTTACCAGCCTCTTTTTCGGGCAGCTGCAGCAGCGCAGGCATGGGCGGATGAAGAAAATAGGCGTCTTCGTGCGTCTGTTTGAACTTCTCGGCAGAGGGGGGCTCTATGCTGAGGGCAAACCAGGCGGTCAGGCCGTCCTCGTGCTCCTCGCCCGGAGCGGCGCGGCCGGGAGCGCCCCGCGGCTCCGTGGGCAGCCGCAGCTCCACTCCCAGGAAGATGAGGGTGACCTCCCCGGCGGGCGCCAGGAACTGCTGCACGTCCTCGTGGCGCAGCCGGCAGAGCTTCACTTCTGGCTGCTGGGAGCTCTCTGTGCCTCCCGCCAGAGTGACTAAGGGGCTTAGATTGGAGAAGAGGATGTACACTGAGCTGGGATGGGTTTGCTTTTTGCTCAGCCAGTTGGAATCAGTTCTTTTGTCGCTCCTTCTGTCCAGAAGTGTCGTACCAAAGTAATTCTCAAGCTCTTTCACTTCATTTGGCAGAGGAAGAGGTCTCTCCCCACCCTTTACATTAGCCAACAAATTAGCTATGTGCTTGTATCCCCAAAATTTAGCAATGTCCAGAGCAGTCTGCCGTGATTTATTAACGATGGACCTGTCACACCTACAGAAACAGAGCAGAGCAGCGGTTACCACAGTAATTTCAAGAGCCCGAACATTGTATTATTCTTACTTACGGCACAATATTGACACTATTAGGGTGTGGGAACTTTCAGAAATTCATTCTACATTGGGGCACTTTTTAGGCTAACTACTTAGCATTAGTAATTAAAATGTGTTCATACTTGCTTTTGTTAATGCTGGATCTCAGACTGCCCTCCAAATGAACTATTAACCAACATTCAGGCTGTACTACAACAGCAATAAATAAATAATCCAGACATTGTGCTATGCAATAAATAAATAAAGAGAACAAACAAACAAGGGAAAAAAAACCACCAAAACACATTCAAGATCCTTTATAAGCAAGGGGTGGTATAAAAACTGTGCTACAGGTCACTTCTAATTAACCAGAGGATATAAGAGCGACATGCACACAGACACACACATAAAGCAGTTTAATGAGCTCTACTTTCTAGAAGGTACCCAACGTGCTATCAAAAGACTTAGAAGACAAAATTTTCTGTTAAGTAAGACCTAAGGATACAGCCTGTGCTTAGGGAGAGATGACAATTGCGGTGCATGAGGTGGTCCCTATAGGGATCTCTCTGAATTTCCAAAACACCTGCAAAATCAAAAATTTAGCGGTAGCTTTTTAAACAAATGCAGGGGATAACTGATTCATTTTCCGAAGTTGCTTTCTGGAAGTGATATTTTAATTTTGTTTACAAAATTAAATATCAGCATCAAAATATCCCCCCAAAATTCCTGGGCTTTTCACTTGCTGGGCTCAGGACAGTAAATGTTTGACCCTACTAAGTAGAAATAAATTTGTGCCTTATCAATGTCCCTGTTTATTCTAAGTGTAGGAAGCCAAAATGCCAAAATTCAGCATTAAATCAAACTTTTTAGATAAAACTAACCAAACTTCAGAAAAAAAGCCACAGCAGAAAGAAAATACCCACTGTTTTAATAAACATACAAGGCCAATATGTCCAAGTTGTTGATATACACGTCCTAATAAAGGCAAGACTGCCTTGACTTCAGTTTGTACATTAAACTCAATAATTTCTAACAGAATTTGAGTATACTTTATAAAAGCATTCAAATTTTAATTTAAAAGCTTTCGGTGCTAAAGGAACTACTGTTGCCCATTTATCTTTACAGCTTAACTACTGTTACTGTAAAATCTTGCCTTATTTCCTGTTTAATTTCCTATCTATCAGCCACTGAAGTTTGTTGTAATTTCTGTCTTCTACTTTCTGCCTACTCAAGTATGTGCTGTGATCAAATTGCTACTCAGCATCCTCAACTGCAGCTTCAATTATTTACATCACTAAGATCTCTTTTTTCCAGTCTTCAAACATTTCTTGTAGCTTTTCTCAAACATGGAAAATAAAATATTTATTTGGGGGATTAGTCTCTTGAATGTTATATAATATCACCTTCAGAGTTCTACTGACATTCATGTTTATACATCCAGCAATGTATTTATCCGAGTGACTATGACTAAATATGACTAAAATTAGATTGAAGATGCCATAGAATAACATTAGCAACTGTATCCTATAAGAAATGTCCTGAAAATGTAATTTTTTCCACAATAAAATCATAAAATCCCTCAAATCTCAAGAAAAAAAGGCCCTTCAGTACACAGATTTAAATCCAAAAAAATGTGTCATGTAGGTGTTTTTCTGCTTGCTAAGGTGTGCTGGCCACCTTAGGTCAGAACAGCAGTTTGTTTGATGTGCCATGCTGAGCCCCAGAGCACAGCTCATACCTTTTGCTAGGAGTAGCTAAAGGTTGGGATGACCCGTGGGGCCTGCAGAATGCCACCCGTGAGCTTATTCCTACGCAACTACGGACTGGACTAATCTCACCTGGCTCTGAAAGTTGGCTCCGCTGAACCTGAGCACCTGACTTGTGTCATTTAGAAATGTCTTCTATTTGAAACATTTGCATCCTCACTTAGTTGAGGATTTAGAAGAATCTTCCTTGGAGTCTGGAAGTGAGCTTTGAGGCATCGTTTGCTTTTCTCTTGGTTTCTGAGTGACAATTTATCCTTGAAAAATAGAGAGACCTCTGGAGAGGTTTGTGAGAGGCCTGTATCTTTTGCATAGTAAATCTGATAAAATTATAAAATCTGGTTATGAACTGTCAGAGAGTAAAACTTTCCTAATTTTAAACCTGGAGATTCTTCCCCTACCTAGCGGGTGAATTTACGTTTCTGACATAAAGATCAAGTAGGCAGAAGGGGATTCAGGCTGGCGCTGTTCAAGAGGAGCCGCGGGGCAGCTTACCCGCCTTCCAGGAGGATCTGCACCACCTCGAAATGCCCGTTTCGGGCCCCGTACATGAGGGCCGTCCAGCCGTTCTGCGCCGTGGCGTTGATGAGCGACGGCGAGCGGCTGAGCAGCGTCCTCAGCCTGCCCGTGTCACCAGCGGCAGCCACGTGGTGCAGCTGGGCCACCAGGTCCTGCTTGAAGCTCCTCTCCAAGTCTGCCATGGCCTCGGCTACGTTATGATAGGGAAAACAATAAAAAGACAGAATTTGAAAACACATTTACTGTGGGCAGAAGGATTTTGAAAAGCAAATTAAGCGTAATGCTATACAGCTAATCCAGCACTGGCACCCAAGCCATAGATAAAACAGTCAAATTCTTATCGTTAGTATAAAATTCTAACTCCCAACCAAGTATCAGTTCCACACAGCTACAAATGTGGCTAAAATTTATCCCTAGTCATCAACGCTTATTTTCAAAGTGATTTAAGGACTTGGTGGTGCAAACGAAGCTTGCTCAAAAGGGCAAAGTGTGCCTGGTTTCATATTAAACCACCCTGCCATCAAGATGAACCCTCTGAGCCATGGAGAAGCCCCTGCTAAAAACCAAACACTTCAAAAGTGAAAAACCAAAACAAATCCACAGAAACAAACACGGGAACAAGCGCCAGCCCTGCTGGTGTGCGCCTGGGCGGCCGCCCCTCGCCCGCGCTGCAGGGGACTCGCGGGTTGCGGCGCTCCGGGGCACGGCCAGAAACGGCGGCTGAAAACCCCGTTTCGGCTAACGCCCAGCAAACCAACCCCGCTGTCTTCAGCAGCGCCGGGTTACACGAGCACAGTGTTTTAGGGGCGCTGATCAGTTTCCCACGGCGGAGCCGCCGCGCGGCCGTTACCGGACACCCCCGCGCAGTCCCGGTCCCGGTCCCGCCGGCCGCCTCCCCTCCGCGCGGCGGGTCCCGTCCCCACGGGCGCGCCGGCTGCGGGGGCCCCGTTACCGTGAGGGCGCCGAGGCCCCGGCGCGAAACTTCCGCCCGGCCGCGCCGCCCCTGGCGGGAGCCGCGCAGGAAATGGCGGCGGGAAGGCCGCGCCGGGAGGCGGGAGGACGGGGCGGGCGGGCGCGCAGGCTGCGGCCGGCGACCGGCACACGCGTTGTGTCTTCGGGCGACAAACGTTACAGTTACAAAAAGCAGCCCAAGCCCTCCCTGTTATCACATCTTCAGACTTCTGCACGGGCAGCTGTACCCAAAACCGCGGAGGAGGAGACAAGTTCTCGCACAAGCGCGTGGCAGCGGGGAGGACGGAGCCGCGGCTGGTGCCGCCGCTTCTGCCTCGGGAAGCGCTCGGTGGGAAAGCACAGCCTGAAGCCGTTACAGCGTTCCCAAATGGGATTGTTGTCTTTTGCAGCACTTAATTATTGTCTTTTGCAGCACTTCTTGAAATAGACATTGTTACAAGTTAATTGTCAAACATGATAGTAAGTGGTTTGCTGAGCATAGAACACCTTGGAATATGTGGGTGTACACATGGCTGCTTTTGTGAGCAGTGGGCAAGTTTCAAACTCTGTACTATATGTGTCATAAAGTTATGTTTTTTTTTATTAAAGCAACCTCAGTAGGTGCTCAACCACATGGGATGAAAGTGCTGCAGTGCAAAGCAGTGACTGTGCCTGGAGACTTGTTGGAGACACCCTTCCAGATAGGGACATGCAAAAGTGTGAAGGATGGGAGGGTAATTCCATTCACTCAGCTGGAAGCTATCTAGCCAGCCTATATGGGTCTGGGTCAGGTGTCCCTAAATAATAGCTTCCACCTGGTGGAAGGTTGCCACCACTCCTAAAATAGCTCCTGCCTGAGCAGCTTTAGTTATTCAGTTGTTCTTTCCTGTTCTGAAGATTAAAGCCTCGAGAAGGAAATAGTTTCCTCAAAGCACTCAGCATTTAAAGACACAAATCAACTTTTTTTTTTTTTTTTTTTTTTTTTTTTTTTTTTTTTTTTTTTTATTAAAAATTTTGTTTACCAAAAAAAAAAAAAAAGAAACAACAGAAAAAGGATTTTTTTTTTTTTTTTTTTTTTTTGGTAATGTTTTATGAGTGCCACCTGTTATGGAAAGCCAGCCTTGCATGCAGGCCTGAGCAGAAGGTTGGGAAGGAAGCTTGACTGCCTTGTGAAAGTCTTGGGCGTCAGACTGGAAGCATAAAGCTGAGGTTTCTCCAGTCTGAAGTATGTGCAATCTCCTACTATTTTTATTCAAGGTAATATGTATATGTAAGCTCTTCATTTGCATGTTGTGTATATACAAACATCTGGTGCTGTAGCACTGGTCAGCAAGTTACACATCCAAGTTACATGATGAAGGAAATGCTACAGACCACATCAGGTGTGGTTTGAGGAATGTTTTATTATATTCAGTGTTTCTTTTTGTGGTGCTTTTACTATCTGTGGAAGGTACATCATGAAATGAAGTTTCAGTTGAGTAATTAAACTATTTCATATTTCAATTAATTTATTAGATATTTTTCTCTTGTAACTGATCTGATTAAAGGTTAAAACATGTACTCCTGGCAATGGTACTTTTTTATGTTGCTAGAAATACTCTTTTCCTATTTTTGAGCTCATATGCAGGTATCAAGTTATTTCTTGCAGCATGAAGCTTCCTGGCTGGATTCTTTGCTTTAACCTCAAGTTTTGAGCAAAGCCTATGTACCTAAGCCTTGTGCTTCATTTGTTAGGCCTGTGAAATGTTTTACGAGGTAATAATCATTTTGGAAGAACAATTTCCCTGAAATAATATAGCAAATACTTAATTGCTTAGAAAACACTTATTTTAATGAGCTCAGATTGTTACAGAAATCTAATCACACATCTACCAGTAGAGGTGGGTAACTTGTTCTCCCTGTTTTCATGTAAAACCTCATATGCAACACAGCAAGTTATCATAAAAACAATAAAGTAATGCCACTCTCTGTGGCATTTTTTAAGGTAAAAAGCTAAAGCTCACTCAGAGGTGAGTGTGGTGCTGACTTACGGTGTGCCTTGGCTCTTGACTTCTTGAACTTGTTTGGGGAGGAGGAATGTAGATACTGGCTACTATCTTGACCTGACTGGGGTCAGCCTTTGAGTATAGATGGGCATTCTTGAGGTGCATTTGTAAGACATTCTTAAAGCATATTTTTAAACGTTTTGGAGTCTGAGTGAAACTGTACCCTGAAAGTGAAAGAGGCTCTGGTGGCTCTGTATTAATGGTGACTAATGATAGTCTTTTCCAAATGCTTCCTGATTACTGCACACCACGACCAAGGGAATAATACTTGAATTCCCTGATGTCCTATTCATTTTGTGCTGCAGCCTGTAGGAAAAAAATGAATATGCTATAAAGAAGGTACCTAAAGTGCCATGAGGAGCACTGCGGTGGCTTGCTGCAAGAAGCACCTGCAAGGAGTGAGACACTTGCTCATAGTTAGCCTGAAAGATGGCAAAATGATAGCACAGGTGGGAGAGAAGCAGCCTGAGAGAAATGTGGCTCCCTGAGCAGTTTCATGGCTTTATCTGCCGCAGTCTAGCAATGTGCTGTTACTGTCAAAACAGCGCACATCTACTACCGTGGAAAAGGTGAAGGGAACTGAGTCAGGAGCTAACGAAATCTGAGGCCCTTCCAGAACAGGTAGCTCTTCTACCCTTCAGGCATTGGGAAGCCTGGAAATAGCTTGCAAAAATCAAGGGACCCCTGGGCCTGGAATGGATAGATAGAGCTCTCCTAACACTCTCACATCTCATCTGGAAGGAATTGGTGGGTTTCAATGGTGGGTTCAGGATCTCGTAGTGACATTCAGTGGCTGTTAAGCCCAAGAGCGTAGAGGCTTGTGTAGCAGTGGTGAGCTCATTCTGAGGCCCTTATCACCTAATTTCATGCTGATTTACAGAGACAAGGGTTACTGGGGGAAGGGTAAATGGCAGTGTGCGCTGCAAGTTTCCCATTGGAGGGGAAATGAAGGCGAGCAGTGGATTTGTGCAAGGAATGTGTTGGCAAACACTTTGGTTTATGTACAATGGGTTATAACAGACTAATCTTTCAACATTTTGGCTTCAAATCAAAATTGTAGTGCATGCATAGCATATTTTAGGGATGGCTAGGAAATTGGTATTATCTAATGAGAGTTCTGGTATTGTGGTTGTAACGTGCAAGTTAAGCTTCTTGGTAGTTTTTATCCATGGTTTTGGGACCATCTAAGTAGACTTAATTCCAAAAGACTCCTCGAATACTGATTCTTGCTGTTTCTCTGACACAAACATCCATGTCTTGACCCTGAAGGGATTGAATCAGACTGGTGGGAATTTTCACTTTAAGAAATGCCTGTCACAAAGCATATATATTTTGTGAAACTCAATTTACTCTTTTGTTCAACATAAAGTTGTATTAACAGTGAGTTTTCTTTTGGCTGTGTTACAGCTGCAATACATGTTGTGCTTAACAACCTGTAGAGGAGGCGTTCATGAAATGAGAGTTGTTAGTGATACAATAGAAGGGAGGTTTTGGGGTTTTTTTCCTTCTCTAGTTGGACACTAGATAGTTTTCTCCAAATTATTCATGTGCTTTCTCAAGTCCTTCTTACAAGGACTGTAACTCATTGTAAGGTCTGTAACTCATTGCTTATGAATGTGTAATCATGGCTCTCAATACCACACAGAGGAACTTTTTCAGGGTTTTGACTGTGGGCTAAGTTAGTGTTTGAGTTGTTTAGTAAGAGTTGTTTAATAATTTCTCTGCCTGGCAGGCTAAAATGGTTCCTAAATGTAAGTGAAATAATCTTTGCAGCAATCCTGAGGTGAAGGGACTCTTATTCTCTTCTCCTAAAGACTAGTACCTGAGGCATTCAGTTTAAAAAAAGTTTTTAATGGTGTTCCCTTTTCTCCCCCGCCAGCTGCATAATATTGCAGTTGTGTAAGTTCAAAAGGATGATTTTTCCCCTTAAATCCGTTTGTCTCAAATGAATACTGAGAATACAAGGAAAACTTTCCAGACATCATTTATAAAGGATGGAGCAAACGCAAGGATAAAAACTGAGCTCCCTAAAGCAGCTTCAACTGCTTTCATTGTGAGCCTGTTCCTTATCTGCTTTAATTTTCTACTTTGGTCATATGCAGCTATTTCCAAATTGAAAGAGTCAGAAAACATGCTTGGGATATGTGTGTGGTGCTGTGGTGTTTTTTTTTTTTTTTTTTTTTTTTTTTTTCCCCCCCCAAAAAAAAAAAAAAAAAAAAAAAAAAAAAACAACCCCCCCCCCCATTTAATTTCTAAAATGTATGTGGATTATGACAAAGATATTACATTTTTAAATGGTATGTGAGGATGTCATGGGAATGCTGTTACCACTTGCATTTCAAGCAAGTGGCACAAATCATCTTCATTTTGGCATTTTCTAAAATTAGAGTGTTTTAACTTGCAAACTTAAAACCTGATGACAGGGTGTTTGTTTGATTTCGGACTTTGCATGTGTAGATGATGTGAGCTTTGTGTGTGTGTAAAGTTGAAACTCACAAAGTTCAGTGTACTCTTTCCTTGGAAGAGAGGAAGAGAAAACCTGTTAAAGCTCAAGAAGCTGTTGACATTTAAAACAACGTTTAAAAACATTATTGAAACAATCTATTTTAAAGACCATATTTTGGCTCCCCTTCATTTTGTTGTGCAGAATTACATCTGCACATGTAATTTATAGGATAAATTGCTATGTTTGTTTATTCACTTTCAAGTTTAATTGGCACTCGGTACAATTTACTCCTGTTTATGGCAGCTGTAGCTCCTACCAAAAGTCATAATCTCTGTATGAG